CAGCGGCAAATTTTACAAATCTCTCTTACCACTTGCCGGTTTATTGTGATCTACGGATGATTATGAAAACGAAACAGTCAAAATGTTATAAAAAATTGTTGATGTGGGACAAACTGAAGGATAACACTTATGTGAAGAAATATCAGGACGAGATTGAGCGAGGCCCTTCAAGCTGTTTATGGACAGATCAATCCCTTGACTCCATTGTAAAAATTGAGAATTACGTTGAGAAAATAACACACAATCTGAAAACGGCAGCGCTCTCGTCAGTGCCAATTAAGAAGTCTAAACAATTTTTGAAGCGCTATTGGAATCCAAGCCTGTCAGCTTTAAACAAAAAGGTCAAGTTATGCAGGAGAACCTGGTTAAAAAATGGTAAACCTAGAGGGCGGATTTATCAGTCATTTATTGAATACAAAAACGCTAAACGTGATTTTCGTAAGGCACAGCGCAGAGCAATTTATGATGAAGAAATGAAAGATTTAGAACATTTAGAAGACGAACATGACATTGACAGAAGTGACTTCTTCAGAAAAATTTCTCGCATGACTAAGCAACCACAAAACAAAAATGATGCCTTACTGCTGGATGGTAAACGCATAGATGACGAACAGGAATTACTTAATGTATGGCGAGAGCATTATGAAGACCTGTATACCCCAAAACATGATCCTGATTTGGATAAAAACTTCAAAACGCATGTTGAAGAAAGTCTTCATAATATCGAAGAAGAAAGTTATGGAAATGAAGATCCATTAGATGCGCCATTCGAGGTAGAAGAGATCCAGAGTGTATGTGATAAATTGCCAAATGGTAAAGCGGGCGGTGTAGATGAACTAGTTTACGAACATTTTAAGTATGGAGGGTCGTGTCGTGCACCAAGCTCTGACAAGGATCTTCAATGCAGTCCGCCAAATAGAATATGTTGCTGAATCTTGGACTATAGGTAATATCTTCTCGATTCTTAAAAAAGGTAAAAAGAACAAACTTGATAAGGGAAGTTACCGAGGTATAACGCTGCTGAATGTGATGGGAAAAATCTTTGAACGTATTCTCTTAAACCGTTGGATTCCAAAGTTTAAAGTTATGGGTATCCCTAACAATTACCAGTTTGCATATCAGAAAAACAAAAGCTGTGTATTATCCAGTTTCTTTTTACAAGAGATCATTAATCATAACGTGGAAAAAGGAAGCAAAGTGTACTGTTGCTTTTTGGACTCTTCGAAAGCCTTTGACTCCGTATGGCTAGATGGCCTTTTCTATAAATTATTTCATCTCGGCTTTAATGGGAAATCCTGGAGAATCCTGAGGAATTGGTATGGTAAAATGCGTTGCTGTGTCTCTGTAAACAGTCTGCAATCTAACATGTTTCCTGTCAAGCAGGGTGTAAGACAAGGAGGAGTGCTATCGCCATGGCTATTTCTCTGTTTTAACAATGACATTCCTGAAATATTAAAACCAATTGACAGTGGTCTCAAGGTCGACAATATTTATTGCAATTCGGTGTTGGTTGCGGATGACATCACCTTATTGTCACTCAGGGTAAAGGGACTACAAGGCTTACTAAGTGCAATTGAATCCTATAGCAAGAAATGGAGATTCCATTTTAATCCGAGCAAAACTGTTGAAGTGACCTTCGGAGAGAGAACTACAGTAAATTCCGTTTGTAAACTGACCAGGAAATGGTATTTAAATGGTGTAAAAATCACGGAAAAAAGTTCGTGGGAGCATGTTGGAATCTCTTTGAGTGGGAATTTCTCCAGCACGGAACGAACAAAGGCGGCAGCAAATAAAGGAAAGGCCTACGTTGGCGCTCTAATGAAAGCTAAAGTACGACCTGCTGGACTAAGTCCAACTATTGGGGCGAACGTTTGGAGATCTTATGGCCTTCCAGCCTTGTTATATGGAAGCGAAGTCTGGTGGAACCTGACACAAACTGAAAAGGAAATATTAAATCGTGCTAATGCCTTTGCTGCAAAAAGAATCCAGGGTCTCTGCATAACCACCAGTTCTCACGGAGCCCTTGGCGCTATTGGAATGTGGCAAACAATTGCATATGTTGACAAACAGAAACTTTTATTCCTTGGTTCCCTTTGTCGATCTCCACCTGACACCTTGCAAAAGCACTTATTCTTATATAGAGTACTTTCACATCTTCATCAGGAGAACTCTCGAAGTATTGGTTTCGCAGCGGATATATATAAAATACTCGAAACATACAACCTAGCGGACTATGTCACAAATTACCTAGCAACCGGTGAGTTTCCCAACAAAACCAAGTGGAAGAAGATAGTTAAAGAACAAATACATCAAAAACAGACGGAATTATGGAAAGAAACTATCAGTGCAAAACCAAACCTAAAGCACTTGCATAGAAGTCATATAAGTTTAAAGCCGCTTCAACATTGGAGTGTAATTAGGCGAAATCCAAGTGCACGAGAGATAATAGCTAACTTGGTGAATTTGCTATGTGGAAATGTTCCAGCACTGGTGTTATCGGCTGTAATAGATAACGATACCGAATATGTATGTCGTGTATGCGGTGAAAGTCTACTTGATGTTGGAGAACACTTCGTAATGAACTGTTCAGCAACGAATCTAGAGCGTAACATAATGTGGGACAAATTAATGGATAACCTTCCTATACAAAGTATGTGCTACATCCACAACCTAGAAGAAGAAGATATTTATACAACCCTATTAAGTGGAAACTGCTCCTCTTTTACCACAGAGGAACATGATAGATTTCTGTTAATAACGGAAATATCTATCTATCTATCTATCTATCTATCTATCTATCTATCTATCTATCTATCTATCTATCTATCTATCTATCTATCTATCTATCTATCTATCTATCTATCTATCTATCTATCTATCTATCTATCTATCTATCTATCTATCTATCTATCTATCTATCTATCTATCTGTCTATCTATCTATCAGAAAGCACCCTTTTCCCCAAGGATTTTCGCTCTAAAGCAATAACAAATACATTGCATGAGTTACAGGAAGGTTATGACGGCAAAACTATAGTCAAATATTGAGAAGATTTAGGCCGCAAAAAGCGGACAAAATCAGCGGCAAATTTTAGCAACCGGCAATGCAAACGTTTGCCGTTTGGGTTCAAGAAAAGGCGTTGATCCATAGCGGAATAGCGGACGGAGTACATTTAGAAATCAATTATTTAATACCTGTAGTCACCAACAACAACATGGCTAACAAGATAGACGTCTTGTTAATTGAACATGAAACGTTCGCTTCTCTTGTAGTTTCTTTTGCCGAACTTGAGGCGTTACATCTAGCCCCAACAAGAAAATGTTCAAGAATGGCTTTCTGCGTAAAAGGATGAAGTTTATGATTCAAGTTTCCCTTCACGTCATCAAAATTCTCGGCTCTGATTGGCCGAATAGGCAAAGGAATTCGTGTTATTGTTTTTAATTGCACGAGAGCCTGAGAGACAGCTGGCATGCTTTACAAAAATTTCATAAGAAAGAGTTCGAAGCTCGTTCTTTAAACAATGAAAAAGATTATGCATATGACACCCATTTCACATACACCAAAAAGATCGAAATACAGGGTGTATAAAAAAGAAGACCTTTAGAAATTAAACTACTGTTATAATTTAAACGCCCTGTCACTACGCTAAGTCCTTTGATGCATGATGTGTAAAATATTGCTAGCTTTTTGCATATATTACATCTCTTTGTTACAAACACAAAAAGCCTTTCTGCTCCTGGGAATTTGACATAACTTCTAAAAGCAAAATTTGGCAGAATAATTCCGTAGTCAAAAAAAAGTTTTGAGAAAGGTTCTCTTAAATCCACCGCTTAAAAGCACAACCCTGAACAACGCCAGTGCGAAATTAATGAGCAGTAATAATTCGTGCCATGCATTATTTTGTTTTATTCGATTCTGCACGTTTGTGCACCCGTGGGCTTGACAGGCATTTAATAAGAAATATCGGTTAAATTTTGGCAATATTCTGTGATGCACATAGATACACTTACTTTTGAGCGGACGAAACAAAGCGCACAGAAGCTAACTGATGTTAAGGTTTGATCCACAGCCAAAAAATGTATATATACATATGATTTCGGATATCGCTTCAAATTTTGTGTGGTGTTTCAAAGACGGAGCAATCACGAATGTATATAGTCGCAGAGCAAAGGTAAAAGTTAATAAAAGTTTTTTAACTTCTTGCAGTGCGACACAGCGCAAGCATTATTTGCGCGTTTTAGGCCGTTTAGTGTAATATATTCCTATATAGGCAGGCAATGATAAAAGTTAATAATAAAAGTTTTTTTTAACTTCAGTGCGACACAGCGCTAGCCGATTATTTGCGCGTTTTGGGCCGTTTATTCTATATTCCGATATAGGCAGGCAATGATAAAAGTTCATAATAAAAGTTTTTTAACTTCAGTGCGACGCTGCGCTTGCATTATTTGCGCGGTTTCAGCCGTTTAGTCTTTATTCATTAGGAAACGGTGTCATATTCAAGTGGATACGAATGGTAAATAAGCAAATTCCATGGCTGCGAATGGTACGAATGGTACCATTTGTAAGGTCAATTAGGCGTGCATGCACAAGACTTTCAGCGAAAAGACAAAACAAAAATCGCAGCATGACACAATTGACGAAACGAAACTGACTTTCATACCAATGGTAATTTCCTTTTTACCGTTGATATACACATTCGTGTGCATATTTACGAAACGAAAATATATAGACTACCGACGGTACCGGTATGATTGGTATATGTATTTGCTGCAGTATTGGACAAGCATGTGTGAAATTAATACTACCAGTGTTTTAATTATTGTACTATAGTATTACAATCGTTGAACATTAGACTCTAAATCTCATAAACGGTCATCATTTCATAACAAAACATGAATTAGAACGATCTCAGCTAGACCTGGAAAGCGGGATCATGCTTTAAAATTACATGAAACTTTTTCTAGTATCAAAAATGTATGTGTTCTTATATTTTAAGTATTCTATCTCAATAGAAATTTGAATGAAATTTCCCGATCTGGCCTCATAAGTCCTCCATTCAAGATCGGATTTACATCACTCTGTTTACTAGACAACTCTACTCGGTATTTTATGAATATCTTGCTCAATAACGTGTAGATATATGCCTCTGCTACTCGCCGTCCTAAACACATTCTCACACCGTGACCGAATGGCAATGAACCGAGGGGATCAAAACTCTTCAAATTTTCAGTATCAAGATCACGAAGCCATCTTTCTGGCACAAACTGTTTTGCATCTTCGCCAAAATTGCGCTCATCAATCGACCCTAAATGATTTTGAAACAGGATATTTACTCCTGCTGGTATGTGATAACCATGAAGCTCGATATCTTGGGTGAATACGCGGCTGAAAATGGAAGCGACTGGGTGCAGGCGTAGCGACTCTTTCAAGGCTGCTTTGAGGTACGAGACGGTCTTATTAACGGATATATCTTCGTGAGAATCAAAGGGTTTTAGTTCTTGATAAAGTTTCTCTTGTTTGTCTGGATTTCGAGAGAGTAAGTATAGGAGCCACAACGATGTCGTACTGATGGTATCAACTCCAGCCGCCATTAAACCACAAAGCATAGTGAGACTTTCTTCTGTCAATTTCCGTTTCGCAAATACATGATCAGCGACCGACGTCGTTTTTTCAATCGGGTCTTCCCCACTCTTCGACTCTCTTTTTTTGGACAATTTGATGTAGGACTCATGCATTGTATTCACATTCCTCTTTGCTGCATAATATGCTGGTGTCGGTAATACTTGTGAAATGGACCCATATCAATGAGAACTCCAACGTTATCGTGCATTTTGTAGGCTGCCTCGAAAAACACGAGAACATCTGCATCTGGTGTTTTCTCATAGAAGCCAAGGCGTCGATTAAACAGGAATGAAGAGTTTGACTCCACGCCCCAATAAGAAAGTTCCCTTTCAATGTTGTGTATTGTTCCATTTTGATCTCTAAGATGGTGTAATCGCTCAACGAAGTCGTTGGCCACAGCATTGATCATGGATATTCTTTCATTGATCTCTTTGGGTCGCAAAAACATCGGCCGATAGCAATGATCGATCCGCATACCACTCGTCATAATCACAAGATAGGATCCCAGTCACATTTCTGCCAAATACCGCCGTAATTGCCTCTAAGCCAGCTCTCATTGGGAAATTTGCTTCGATCTTTAAAACCGTAGCCAAGGAATCTACATCGTAAAAGTTCACAATGTCCATGTCCAGTATTTTCTCTCGATATATTGGGCCGAACTTTTTGAAACGTTTCGTTACTTTTTCGTAATGCGTTCCCTTACCAAACGTATAACCCAGGATATTTGAAATCGTTCCTTTTGGGCCAGGTATTGCAGAGAATGGCAATGTTTCGTTTCGTTTGATAGCGTAGGCATCTCAGATGCTAACCTACGTATCATTTGCATTGAACCGCACGTAATTAGCCGACATTTAACGTTGAAGAAACTTGAAATTGAAGATAAAAACCTCATTGCTGTTTTTTCGTGTTCCAGTCTAATCAAGCAGTGCGAAGAAAAGAATACACGCAAAACCTGGCGTCACAACTGCACTTCACTCGATGAACATCGTTTGTTTTTAGATTTCTCGCACGTTTAGTCTATCCCTATACAGTAGGCTTGCACGGTGTCATATTCGAGTGGATACGAATGGTACGGATGGTACGAGTATCAGGGTCATTTGGCGCGATGCATGCATTTAAAACCGTACTCTGCAGGAGATAAGATAATTCAAAAGTCGCAACATGACGCAATTGACGTAGTGAAAACTTTTATAGCTACCGTAATTTTCCTACTATACCACTTGTATACATTCGTGGCGCGTACTCACAAAACTAAAATATAGAATATATACCCATGGTAGCTAAGATAAAATTGTCCGCGCGGCTACAGTATAGGGAATATGTGTTTACAAGCGTTTGCTCAAGTTAAATGAAGTGTTTTACAAGTGGAAAAAGTTTATAAATTAAGAAGATTGCATGCTTGGTGCATGGCAGCTAGTGCGTGGGCATTGCAAGAACAGCGCAGGTTAGCTTGGAAGGACGGCTTTAAGAGGGGAAAGAGAGTTGAGGAGTCGATTCCCTATCCCCATTTTAGCATACAACATAATCGGCTATATTACTAAATTTTTGAATGATTGTATGAACTAAATCGAATACAAAAAATATGCGTCAGACGCAAGTTTTGATTTGAGTACAAATACTTGATAGAGTACGCATAATAAAACGCACTATTATTGCACTTTTTGTTAGCGTAACGTGTCGTATGCCAGGAAATAGTTCTCATGCACCCGCAGCCGATGTAAAGCGCAAAGAAACTGGATGAACCGCTGAAGTTATCACGGAGAAGCAAGAAGTTGAATGAGCCGCTGAACGCGAATAAGATGGTCACAAATATGTCACATGCGAACACCACTTATTTCGATTGACCAAAATTAAGATTGGCCGCGTGGGAGAATAAGTCTTTTGCGAAAAAAAAAGACTCTCTCGGTTTAGTTCGTGTATTAAATTATTCACTTTTGTCAAATCAGAAATTTTAAGAAATTAATAAACTGGTGGGAAAATGGCTAATATGAAGAGGAAACGTGGCGCATGTTGTTTGCATTTTTTGGTGGTACATAGCTTTTACGGGAAAGTGTTTGAAAGAAAATAAACAGTGCAATAGCAATATGCCATTTATATTGACTCAGTTTATGAAGTAGGCATCGCAGACCTGATTCTATATAAATTATATAAAAATATAACTTGTGTAAAAACAATTTGAAGAAATATTCATTAAGGTTTCACCCGGAGGAAAGGTCATGCAACTGTCTTTTTATAGACTGACTAAATATGTAAAAAAACAAGTAAAAAAAAAGAATTCTCACAAACGGTCATCATTTAAAAACAAAACATGAATTAGAACGATCTCAGCTAGACCTCGAAAGCGGGATCATGCTTTAAAATTACATGAAACTTTTTCTAGTATCAAAAATGTATGTGTTCATATATTTTAAGTATTCTATCTCAATAGAAATTTGAATAAAATTTCCCGATCTGGCCTCATAAGTCCTCCATTCAAGATCGGATTTTACATCACTCTGTTTACTAGACAACTCTACTCGGTATTTCATGAATATCTTGCTCAATAACGTGTAGATATATGCCTCTGCTACTCGCCGTCCTAAACACATTCTCACACCGTGACCAAATGGCAATGAACCGAGCGGATCAAAACTCTTCACATTTCCAGTATCAAGATCACGAAGCCATCTTTCTGGCACAAACTGCTTTGCATCTTCGCCAAAATAGCGCTCATCAATCGACCCTAAATGATTTTGAAACAGGATATTTACTCCTGCTGGTATGTGATAACCATGAAGCTCGATATCTTGGGTGAATACGCGGCTGAAAATGGAAGCGACTGGGTGCAGGCGTAACGACTCTTTCAAGGCTGCTTTGAGGTACGAGGCGGTTTTATTAACGGATATATCTTCGTCAGAATCCAAGGGTTTTAGTTCCTGATAGAGTTTCTCTTGTTTGTCTGGATTTCGAGAGAGTAAGTATAGGAGCCACAACGATGTCGTACTGATGGTATCAACTCCAGCAGCCATTAAACCAGCAAGCATAGTGAGACTTTCTTTGTCAATTTCCGTTTCGCAAATACATGATCAGCAACCGACGTCGTTTTTTCAATCGCGTCTTCCCCACTCTTCGCCTCTCTTTTTTTGGACAATTTGATGTAGGACTCATGCATTGTATTCATATTCCGCTTTGCTGCATAATATGCTGGTGTCGGTATATACTTGTGAAATGGACCCATATCAATGAGAAATCCAACGTTATCCTTCATTTTGCAGGCTGCCTCGAAAAACACGAGAACATCTGCATCTGGTGTTTTCTCATAGAAGCCAAGGCGTCGATTAAACAGGAATGAAGAGTTTGACTCAACGCTCCAATAAGAAAGTTCCCTTTCAATGTTGTGTATTGTTCCATTTTGATCTCTAAGATGGTGTAATCGCTCAACGAAGTCGTTGGCCACAGCATTGATCATGGATATTCTTTCATTGATCTCTTTGGGTCGCAAAAACATCGGCGATAGCAATGATCGATCCGCATACCACTCGTCATAATCACAAGATAGGATCCCAGTCACATTTCTGCCAAACACCGCCGTAATTGCTCTAAGCCAGCTCTCATTGGGAAATTTGCTTCGATCTTTAAAACCGTAGCCAAGAATCTATCGTAAAAGTTCACAAGTCCATGTCCAGTATTTTCTCTCGATATATTGGGCCGAACTTTTGAAACGTTTCGTTACTTTTTCGTAATGCGTTCCCTTACCAAACGTATAACCCAGGATATTTGAAATCGTTCCTTTTGGGCCAGGTATTGCAGAGAATGGCAATGTTTCGTTTCGTTTGATAGCGTAGACATCAGATGCTAACCTACGTATCATTTGCATTGAACCGTGCGTAATTAGCCGACATTTAACGTTGAAGAAACTTGAAATTGAAGATAAAAACCTCATTGCTGTTTTTTCGTGTTCCAGTCTAATCAAGCAGTGCGAAGAAAAGAATACACGCAAAACCTCGCGTCACAACTGCACTTCACTCCGATGAACATCGTTTGTTTTTAGATTTTTCGCACGTTTTTAGTCTATCTAACAGTAGCTTGCACGGTGTCATATTCGAGTGGATACGAATGGTACGGATGGTACGAGTAGCAGGGTCATTTGGCGCGATGCATGCATTTAAAACCGTACTCTGCAGGAGTAAGATAATTCAAAAGTCGCAACATGACGCAATTGACGTAGTGAAATCTTTTATAGCTACCGTAATTTTCCTACTATACCACTTGTATACATTCGTGGCGCGTACTCACAAAACTAAAATATAGAATATATACCATGGTAGCTAAGATAAAATTGTCCGCGCGGCTACAGTAAAGGATATGTGTTTACAGCGTTTGCAAGCGTTTGCTCAAGTTAAATGAAGTGTTTTACAAGTGGAAAAAGTTTATAAATTAAGAAGATTGCATGCTTGGTGCATGGCAGTTTGTGCATGGGCATTGCAAGAACAGCGCAGGTTAGCTTGGAACGCCCGCTTTAAGAGGGGAATAGAGAGTTGAGGAGTCTGTTCCCTATCCCCATTTTAGCATACAACATAATCGGCTATATTACTAAATTTTTGAATGATTGTATGAACTAGATCGAATACAGAAAATATCGTCGACGCAAGTTTTGATTTGAGTACAAATATTGATAGAGTACGCATAATAAAACGCACTATTATTGCACTTTTTGTTAGCGTAACGTGTCGTATGCCAGAAAAGTTCTCATGCACCCGCAGCCGATGTAAAGCGCAAAGAAACTGGATGAACAACTGAAGTTATCACGAAGAAGCAAGAAGTGAATGAGCCGCTGAACGCGAATAAGATGGTCACAAATATGTCACATGCGAACACCACTTATTTCGATTGACCAAAATTAAGATTGGCCGCGTGGGAGAATAAGTCTTTTGCGAAAAAAAAAGACTCTCTCGGTTTAGTTCGTGTATTAAATTATTCACTTTTGTCAAATCAGAAATTTTAAGAAATTAATAAACTGGTGGGAAAATGGCTAATATGAAGAGGAAACGCGGCGCATGTTGTTTGCATTTTTTGGTGGCACATAGCTTTTACGGGAAAGTGTTTGAAAGAAAATAAACAGTGCAATAGCAATATGCCATTTATATTGACTCAGTTTATGAAGTAGGCATCGCAGACCTGATTCTATATAATTATATAAAAATATAACTTGTGTAAAAACAATTTGAAGAAATATTCATTAAGGTTTCACCCGGAGGAAAGGTCATGCAACTGTCTTTTTATAGACTGACTAAATATGTAAAAAAAACAAGTAAAAAAAAAGAATTCTCACAAACGGTCATCATTTAAAAACAAAACATGAATTAGAACGATCTCAGCTAGACCTCGAAAGCGGGATCATGCTTTAAAATTACATGAAACTTTTTCTAGTATCAAAAATGTATGTGTTCATATATTTTAAGTATTCTATCTCAATAAAAATTTGAATAAAATTTCCCGATCTGGCCTCATAAGTCCTCCATTCAAGATCGGATTTACATCACTCTGTTTACTAGACAACTCTACTCGGTATTTATGAATATCTTGCTCAATAACGTGTAGATATATGCCTCTGCTACTCGCCGTCCTAAACACATTCTCACACCGTGACCGAATGGCAATGAACCAAGCGGATCAAAACTCTTACATTTTCAGTATCAAGATCACGAAGCCATCTTTCTGGCACAAACTGCTTTGCATCTTCGCCAAAATAGCGCTCATCAATCGACCCTAAATGATTTTGAAACAGGATATTTACTCCTGCTGGTATGTGATAACCATGAAGCTCGATATCTTGGGTGAATACGCGGCTGAAAATGGAAGCGACTGGGTGCAGGCGTAACGACTCTTTCAAGGCTGCTTTGAGGTACGAGGCGGTTTTATTAACGGATATATCTTCGTCAGAATCCAAGGGTTTTAGTTCCTGATAGAGTTTCTCTTGTTTGTCTGGATTTCGAGAGAGTAAGTATAGGAGCCACAACGATGTCGTACTGATGGTATCAACTCCAGCAGCCATTAAACCAGCAAGCATAGTGAGACTTTCTTTTGTCAATTTCCGTTTCGCAAATACATGATCAGCAACCGACGTCGTTTTTTCAATCGCGTCTTCCCCACTCTTCGCCTCTCTTTTTTTGGACAATTTGATGTAGGACTCATGCATTGTATTCATATTCCGCTTTGCTGCATAATATGCTGGTGTCGGTATATACTTGTGAAATGGACCCATATCAATGAGAAATCCTACGTTATCCTTCATTTTGCAGGCTGCCTCGAAAAACACGAGAACATCTGCATCTGGTGTTTTCTCATAGAAGCCAAGGCGTCGATTAAACAGGAATGAAGAGTTTGACTCAACGCTCCAATAAGAAAGTTCCCTTTCAATGTTGTGTATTGTTCCATCTTGATCTCTAAGATGGTGTAATCGCTCAACGAAGTCGTTGGCCACAGCATTGATCATGGATATTCTTTCATTGATCTCTTTGGGTCGCAAAAACATCGGCGATAGCAATGATCGATCCGCATACCACTCGTCATAATCACAAGATAGGATCCCAGTCACATTTCTGCCAAACACCGCCGTAATTGCCTCTAAGCCAGCTCTCATTGGGAAATTTGCTTCGATCTTTAAAACCGTAGCCAAAGAATCTACATCGTAAAAGTTCACAATGTCCATGTCCAGTATTTTCTCTCGATATATTGGGCCGAACTTTTGGAAACGTTTCGTTACTTTTTCGTAATGCGTTCCCTTACCAAACGTATAACCCAGGATATTTGAAATCGTTCCTTTTGGGCCAGGTATTGCAGAGAATGGCAATGTTTCGTTATCGTTTGATAGCGTAGACATCTCAGATGCTAACCTACGTATCATTTGCATTGAACCGTGCGTAATTAGCCGACATTTAACGTTGAAGAAACTTGAAATTGAAGATAAAAACCTCATTGCTGTTTTTTCGTGTTCCAGTCTAATCAAGCAGTGCGAAGAAAAGAATACACGCAAAACCTCGCGTCACAACTGCACTTCACTCGATGAACATCGTTTGTTTTTAGATTTTTCGCACGTTTATAGTCTATCTCTAAACAGTAAGCTTGCACGGTGTCATATTCGAGTGGATACGAATGGTACGGATGGTACGAGTAGCAGGGTCATTTGGCGCGATGCATGCATTTAAAACCGTACTCTGCAGGAGGTAAGATAATTCAAAAGTCGCAACATGACGCAATTGACGTAGTGAAATCTTTTATAGCTACCGTAATTTTCCTACTATACCACTTGTATACATTCGTGGCGCGTACTCACAAAACTAAAATATAGAATATATACCCATGGTAGCTAAGATAAAATTGTCCGCGCGGCTACAGTAAAGGATATGTGTTTACCAGCGTTTGCAAGCGTTTGCTCAAGTTAAATGAAGTGTTTTACAAGTGGAAAAAGTTTATAAATTAAGAAGATTGCATGCTTGGTGCATGGCAGTTTGTGCATGGGCATTGCAAGAACAGCGCAGGTTAGCTTGGAACGCCCGCTTTAAGAGGGGAATAGAGAGTTGAGGAGTCTGTTCCCTATCCCCATTTTAGCATACAACATAATCGGCTATATTACTAAATTTTTGAATGATTGTATGAACTAGATCGAATACAGAAAATATTCGTCCGACGCAAGTTTTGATTTGAGTACAAATATTGATAGAGTACGCATAATAAAACGCACTATTATTGCACTTTTTGTTAGCGTAACGTGTCGTATGCCAGAAAACAGTTCTCATGCACCCGCAGCCGATGTAAAGCGCAAAGAAACTGGATGAACAACTGAAGTTATCACGAAGAAGCAAGAAGTTGAATGAGCCGCTGAACGCGAATAAGATGGTCACAAATATGTCACATGCGAACACCACTTATTTCGATTGACCAAAATTAAGATTGGCCGCGTGGGAGAATAAGTCTTTTGCGAAAAAAAAGACTCTCTCGGTTTAGTTCGTGTATTAAATTATTCACTTTTGTCAAATCAGAAATTTTAAGAAATTAATAAACTGGTGGGAAAATGGCTAATATGAAGAGGAAACGCGGCGCATGTTGTTTGCATTTTTTGGTGGCACATAGCTTTTACGGGAAAGTGTTTGAAAGAAAATAAACAGTGCAATAGCAATATGCCATTTATATTGACTCAGTTTATGAAGTAGGCATCGCAGACCTGATTCTATATAAATTATATAAAAATATAACTTGTGTAAAAACAATTTGAAGAAATATTCATTAAGGTTTCACCCGGAGGAAAGGTCATGCAACTGTCTTTTTATAGACTGACTAAATATGTAAAAAAACAAGTAAAAAAAAAGAATTCTCATAAACGGTCATCATTTAAAAACAAAACATGAATTAGAACGATCTCAGCTAGACCTCGAAAGCGGGATCATGCTTTAAAATTACATGAAACTTTTTCTAGTATCAAAAATGTATGTGTTCATATATTTTAAGTATTCTATCTCAATAAAAATTTGAATAAAATTTCCCGATCTGGCCTCATAAGTCCTCCATTCAAGATCGGATTTACATCACTCTGTTTACTAGACAAACTTACTCGGTATTTTATGAATATCTTGCTCAATAACGTGTAGATATATGCCTCTGCTACTCGCCGTCCTAAACACATTCTCACACCGTGACCGAATGGCAATGAACCAAGCGGATCAAAACTCTTCACATTTTCAGTATCAAGATCACGAAGCCATCTTTCTGGCACAAACTGCTTTGCATCTTCGCCAAAATAGCGCTCATCAATCGACCCTAAATGATTTTGAAACAGGATATTTACTCCTGCTGGTATGTGATAACCATGAAGCTCGATATCTTGGGTGAATACGCGGCTGAAAATGGAAGCGACTGGGTGCAGGCGTAACGACTCTTTCAAGGCTGCTTTGAGGTACGAGGCGGTTTTATTAACGGATATATCTTCGTCAGAATCCAAGGGTTTTAGTTCCTGATAGAGTTTCTCTTGTTTGTCTGGATTTCGAGAGAGTAAGTATAGGAGCCACAACGATGTCGTACTGATGGTATCAACTCCAGCAGCCATTAAACCAGCAAGCATAGTGAGACTTTCTTTTGTCAATTTCCGTTTCGCAAATACATGATCAGCAACCGACGTCGTTTTTTCAATCGCGTCTTCCCCACTCTTCGCCTCTTTTTTTTGGACAATTTGATGTAGGACTCATGCATTGTATTCATATTCCGCTTTGCTGCATAATATGCTGGTGTCGGTATATACTTGTGAAATGGACCCATATCAATGAGAAATCCTACGTTATCCTTCATTTTGCAGGCTGCCTCGAAAAACACGAGAACATCTGCATCTGGTGTTTTCTCATAGAAGCCAAGGCGTCGATTAAACAGGAATGAAGAGTTTGACTCAACGCTCCAATAAGAAAGTTCCCTTTCAATGTTGTGTATTGTTCCATCTTGATCTCTAAGATGGTGTAATCGCTCAACGAAGTCGTTGGCCACAGCATTGATCATGGATATTCTTTCATTGATCTCTTTGGGTCGCAAAAACATCGGCGATAGCAATGATCGATCCGCATACCACTCGTCATAATCACAAGATAGGATCCCAGTCACATTTCTGCCAAACACCGTCATAATTGACTCTAAGCCAGCTCTCATTGGGAAATTTGCTTCGATCTTTAAAACCGTAGCCAAGGAATCTATATCGTAAAAGTTCACAATTTCCATGTCCAGTATTTTCTCTCGATATATTGGGCCGAACTTTTTGAAACGTTTCGTTACTTTTTCGTAATGCGTTCCCTTACCAAACGTATAACCCAGGATATTTGAAATCGTTCCTTTTGGGCCAGGTATTGCAGAGAATGGCAATGTTTCGTTTTCGTTTGATAGCGTTGGCATGTCAGATGCTAACCTACGTATCATTTGCATTGAACCGCACGTAATTAGCCGACATTTAACGTTGAAGAAACTTGAAATTGAAGATAAAAACCTCATTGCTGTTTTTTCGTGTTCCAGTCTAATCAAGCAGTGCGAAGAAAAGAATACACGCAAAACCTCGCGTCACAACTGCACTTCACTCGATGAACATCGTTTGTCCCATCGTTTGTTCGTCTATCCCTATACAGTAGGCTTGCACGGTGTCATATTCGAGTGGATACGAATGGTACGGATGGTACGAGTAGCAGGGTCATTTGGCGCGATGCATGCATTTAAAACCGTACTCTGCAGGAGATAAGATAATTCAAAAGTCGCAACATGACGCAATTGACGTAGCGAAAACTTTTATAGCTACCGTAATTTTCCTACTATACCACTTGTATACATTCGCGGCGCGTACTCACAAAACTAAAATATAGAATATATACTTATGGTAGCTAAGATAAAATTGTCCGCGCGGCTACAGTAAAGGATATGTGTTTACAAGCGTTTGCAAGCGTTTGCTCAAGTTAAATGAAGTGTTTTAAAAGTTTATAAATTAAGAAGATTGCATGCTTGGTGCATGGCAGCTAGTGCGTGGGCATTGCAAGAACAGCGCAGGTTAGCTTGGAAGGACGGCTTTAAGAGGGGAATAAAGAGTTGAGGAGTCGATTACCTATCCCCATTTTAGCATGCAACATAATCGGCTATATTACTAAATTTTTGAATGATTGTATGAACTAGATCGAATACAGAAAATATGCGTCAGACGCAAGTTTTGATTTGAGTACAAATACTTGATAGAGTACGCATAGTAAAACGCACTATTTTTGAATTTTTTTTAGCGTAACGTGTCGTATGCCAGAAAAAAGTCCTCACCCACAGCCGATATGCGCAAAGAAACTGGAAGTCAAATGAACCGCTGAAGTTATCACGAAGAAGCAGGAAGTCGAATGAGCCGCTGAACGCGAATAAGATGGTCACAAATATGTCATATGCGAACACCACTTATTTCGATTGACCAAAATTAAGATTGGCCGCGTGGGAGAATAAGTCTTTTGCGAAAAAAAAAGACTCTCTCGGTTTAGTTCGTGTGATAAATTATTCACTTTTGTCAAGTCAGAAATTTTAAGAAATTAATAAACTGGTGGGAAAATTGCTAATATGAAGAGGAAACGTGGCCCATGTTGTTTGCATTTTTTGGTGGTACGTAGCTTTTACGGGAAAGGTGTTTGAAAGAAATAAACAGTGCAATAGCAATATGCCATTTATATTTTTCAATCGATATTTTCTAACTATATTACACGCGTTATTATTATTATAAGAATTTTTTAAAGTTTATTTATCGCAATCATATCGGCACAAACATTTTCAATCGTCAACAGGAAGGATATATTAACTTCAGTTTATGAAGTAGGCATCGCAGACCCCATTCTAAATAAATTATATAAAAATATAACTTGTATAAAAAAAATTGAGAAAATATTCATTAAGGTTTCAACCGGAGGAAAGGTCATGCAAAAAAACAAGTAAAAAAGAACAATTCTTTATGCACCAGACCTGATTTTTACTGCAAAGCACCTGCTTATTGGAGTAGTTTCTTGCAACACATCGTGAGTCGCAGATTTTATAATGGTATAGCCGTTTTTGTGGTCCATCTTCCCTGAAAGAATTGTTGTTAATAACGGTTAGTTTTTCATATGCTAGCTGTGGCGGAAATTGGTGTAAACCTGTAAAATATTTATGTCACAATTTATACTGCATTTGAGAGAACATTGAATACCCAAGAGCACAGTAAAATGGGAAGTTACAAGCTGTTTTAACCGCTTTCTACACAATACACGCACTCACGCAGTGGCGTCGCCAGCTCGAAAAGTTGGAGTGGCGCGGAGGCGGGACATATTCAAATATTCGTGCTCTACACTATTCTTTTTATTTTCAAATTGGCTGTTTTTACAGTTTGTGAACATTAATATATGAATATGTCTCCCCCCTTCACTTAACGATGCTGGAGACGCCGCTGAATATACGGTTGCAAATAGCTAATGACAAGCCGCTTGAAAACACTCATATTCTCTATTTAAGGTTCGAAAGATGCAAGGCAGGACTTCAGGTATTTCCAGACTTTAATATCCAAAAAATATCTTATATGTATATAATTATGATCATGATGCGTTCAGTTTACTATAAATGTCGCACCCCAAAGCGTTTGTAAGATGTTAATCAATTATTGGACGAGCTTGAGCAAAATATCGTGATTTGTCGGTGGCGAGCAGATCCAATTATTTGTCGATGCCGAAGACAGAGGCAAATAATTGATCTGCGAACCACCGACAAATCACGATATTTTAGGGGAACCGAGCTCAATAATTGTTTTATCAATTATCATTATCTTATTAATTTTTGGTATTTTCCGCGTTTTTTTCTTAGAGTAAGCAATACAACTCATTTTCTGAAAGTTCGGCAAAGCGAGTCGCCGTTATACTGTATTGTTTACAAAATTGAAGCCAATCCGCAAGCTCAGAGTATTATTTGCACACAGTTACCTGCAGGTAAATTAACCAATCAAAAATTGAGAATACGATAAAGTGAATGATAAATATTATTAATATTCATTTTTTGTAAACTTACGTTCTGATTGGTCGATTTGTATCACGTGAGTGAATTTCATATAGCAACAACGCCACGGCAGTGCCGTTATAGGATTTATTGCACGATCAAAATGGCGGCAATAAACAAAAAAATTGCCGAACTTAGTGAAGAAGAAATTGATGTAATTATAAATAAATCCACACGGAAAAATGCTAAACGGGGAACCGGTTCGGGTGTTTTAGTATTTAAAGGTAAGCATGTGTTGTTTATTTAAGTTTTAAAATTATATAAAGTCTTTACGAGTTTACTCAAAATGAATATTAAAAGCAGAGTTAAAGCGCTCTTTGTTTGTGTATTATCGGGTTTTACATGCACTCGTTCACAAACAAGGAACTCGAAGTTCAATACTGCACTCGGCTTCGCCTCGTGCAGTATTGAACTTCTCGTTCCTTGTTTCTGAACTCGTGCATGTAAAACCCGATAATGCACTCACAGAGTGCTTTAATCCTTAATTATTATACATTATAGTAGTAAAAGCAATTTGATTGGCTAATAGTTGACAGATAAATCGCGCAATCACGCAAAATTCAGTTATCTGCTAGCAGATAACTGAGTTATCTGCAATTGAGCCTGCGGTGGTTAACAAGCGGTATTCACTTAAATGTATTTTTGGATGTTGCCATTAAATAAGGTTTTTCATTCGTTCATACTATGTTTATTATTCTTCAAATGTATAATAAAACAATTATTGAATTCGGTTTTTGTGATATGCAGAGTTATCACTTATCAAGGTCGAGGTAAGCGTTAATTGTTTATTATGAGTATTATTTTTGCACATATAACTTATCTTGCTACATTAACTTAGATTCAGATTGTTCGGATGTGCCCTTCTTTCAATTTTTTTATTGAATTCAATGGAGAAGTAGCGTAATTTCGGGAAGAAAAGCAACGCGGCTTGAAAATAGCCTAATACTAACCTAATACTATTGGGGCCTAATACTAACCTAATACTATTGGGGCGCGGTCCTGAAGTTTATTGATTAACCGCGATTAATTTTGCTTTATTAATTATTGATAAAAACATACACGAAAACAATATCATACCTTTCTACGGCACCAATTTCGTTGTCTTCATTCGAATAGTTTTCACGGAGTTTTCTTGCATCTGTAAATATGAATCATCCAAGCGCAAGGACGAAAATAACGATCTAAAAACAAACAGCAGTAAACTGAAAAATAGTCGACTCTTACCATTTGGGAAGTCAGGTTTGAAACTGTTAAATAAATAAATAAAAAGATAAACCGACTGAACACAAATAGCTGAAGCATTGTCCAAAATATAATTCTAGGCCGACTAAACGAAAAAAATTTTGTTTCGACCCCAAATCTCACGGAAACAACAATGAATAGTTAACGACAATTCAATTATCAAGTGATACCCGAGGCTCACGGGAAAATTTAGAACCGAGCTTGAATTCACTCAATTTGCCAATTGCCCTTGTGACGACGTAGAATCGGTCAACAACCTGTTTTCATCCTTTTCTCTCAAATAAAAAATAGCAACTATACAAGATATTATACTTGGTAATTCAGCCTTATAGCTGATAAAAAGGGCATATTGAGTTTAAATACCTTAAACATCTTTCACAGTACTTTAACGATCTTGCCTCTCCTCGTCTGGTATCAATTTCAGCAGTCTTTCATGAAAATTGGAAAGAATGAGAAAGAAAGCGTCGTTAACGTTTTTATATCTTAGCATGTGTGTTGGCGTAAGGACGCATGCCTCATTGCAGCTGTAACTTCAAATACAGGTACGTACACGATTGCGCAAATAAAGCTGTGCACCCTTGTGCATCTACTATATTTTCAGTAAAGTGTTCTGTTTTTGTGGATGGAAAAAAGGTTTGAAAATTCACTCTTTGAAAGTAGGCGTTGCATATCCTGATTCAAATAACGAAAACTATATTAAAATATCTAGCTAAATTAAATACAACAGTGTAGATGCATGTCTAATACGCAGTTTTGTGCATAATATACTAGTAATTTCCAACTATTTTAATTCAGACTGCTTCACTTTCTGGTACACCTTGATCTGCAATATTTTTAGCAATTATGTAGTTATACTCTGAATGGGGAAGTCATAAGTTTGCCCCTCGCATAAATTTACCGATGTGAGGGCTTTCTCAGGTGAAGACGCGTACGTAATTAACGCGAAATTTCGTAATTAATATAAATTTTCGTAATAGAATATGAATATCTAGCTTAATTAAATAAAACAGTGTACATATTAAGTATATCTAATTTGTAGTTTTGTACATATTTATATATCTAGTATTCTCCATTATTTTAATTTAGGCTGCTAAGTTTTATTTAGCTGAGCTTGCTAACTAAAGCTTAGCAATTATGTAATTCATCTGAAGGGAAAGTCAAGTTTATCCCAAGCAACTGTTTAACAATGTGGGGCTCTCCCACTTGAAACTGTTCAAATTTTCGTCAAAGAGAATTTTTTGTCCTTCTTTAACCTTCTTTGTGCTCTAGCTCTCTTTAGCTGCTATTCATTTTTGAAGTGAAGTTTCGCGCTCTTAAGCGAGTTGAAGTGTTTGGCGTGTAAAGACTCGGGCTCGAGAGAGTCAATGGATTGTTTTTTGGATGTAAGTTCGAGAAAAAAAAATTCCATGGATGCGCTGACACGTCAGAAGCTAAAATTACATTTCTGAGAATTGCGAGTTTGGCGTTGCTTCCTGCATGCCAATTTAGGACATGTGCATGATAATTATTTATGTGAGAATTTAAGATGTGTGATAATTTATAAAGTTTCCCTTTGCAATTCCTATCTTTGCCCAGGTATTTTTTTTATATAAATGCTCATTGAAAATACTTTGCTTATGACTTTTAACCTGCAGTAACGAATAAAGAATTTATTCACAACAAGCGTAACGTAAAAGGATATACATTATAATCAGTAACCAAAATTGTTGATGCTTTCCCCGGACTATACGCGGACTTATCATGGCTGAGAATTGCAAGTGTTTATTTTTATACTTTTTCGACAGATTTCTTTTTATTAAAGGGCAATAACCCCCAAAATGAAGTCGTAAATCAGTAGATAAATTTCTGGGTAAAAAGGATCGGTATGGATATGCACTAACAACACAGCAAATTATCGCGTCCTGTTCGATTCTGATCACGATTGCGTTGGTGGGTAAACATAATTATATCAGTACACGGAACAATAAATTATACAAAAGTAGAATTTCAATTGATCCGGAGTTTTGAAAAGTTTTGAATTTTCATTAAGTCGAAGTGCTAAGATGCCCTAAAAATAGGGAATTATTAGTTGTGTACTCATGCAAGGGCGCTGGGCGTAGCGTGGCTTTGTTAACTGGGGTTGCAACCCTAAAGTTTTACAAACACGTGGCACTTTGAGCGTGTCTAAAGAAAGCTTATAGACAATCAACAAGACGTAATATAGGATAGGAAGTTTTGGCTAAATGCCATAAATGTTATGCGTTTTAGACCGTGTATATAACATAATTATTGTTACGACATGCATTACATGCAAAACTTTGAGAATCTAGCTGTTTTATCACTTTACAAAAGATTTATCAACAAACGAGTGAGACGGCTTGTCAAATTATCGCAAGCAGCTAAGCAGGTTTAGCAAAATTATAACTTTATCGACGCTTGTGGCTGTTGTCGACCGACGTCGCGTTTAGCCGACCACAAAATGCTGGAAAATTGTTAAATTTGGATGTCTTGCATTTACTGACTTTATATACTGGCTTACTCTTTAAACATATATAGTAAATTACCTTAGCTCGGAATTATGATAATTTATCATTAAATTGATATTTTATCAATTATTATTTAGTTTATGATTTATTACAAGATAATCGCATTATAATCGCATGAATGATTCTTTCCGGGAAAAAATCTAGTATTCTTTATTTGGGTTCTATTTTTTTTGGAACACCCTAAAACTATGAGAATCGAGTAATTGCATGACAAGCGGAGTAAAAATCTAAAGCCTTAGAATACAATAAATTATTCGCGACGGACCGACGGTTGTTTGACTTGTTAGTCAAATGTTTGACTTTAAATAAGCTACGGGAAAGCTACGATAAAATAGCCATATAAACGTTTTATTTGTGCTAAGAACGTTTGATGTCCGGGATAATAATGCAGTTTCATATATATGTGCTATCAAACAGCTTTAACTTTTCCAGGTTTAATTCATGCATGTCGTCAAGAAGTTGTGAAAATGCCCTATTTGAAGGCGTTGTTCGCATTGTTAATGTGTATTGGGAGTAGAAGTTATGCATGTATGCATAGCCTATTGCCTTTTGTGTGGTGTCTTCTGTTTTGCTTGGGCGCGTCGTGAATCGTATAAACTTCCTAATAGAAGAAAAGCGACGCGCTCTTTGGTACTTTTACACCTGAATAAACTGAAATGAAGTTTCAATGTTGTACCTGCATAAAACTTCGTTGAAAATATTAGGAAGGATATTAGAACATCGTTTTTGCAAGTGGGTGTATATATAAATATAGTATATTGTTGGACATCTGTCTTGCAAATTTCGTTGATGTCACGGTAAGGCGACAGTATAAATTGACAGTATAAATTTGCTCGGCATAATGGTCAAAGAAGAACGCAAAACTGTGTTTGACGAAAATGTGGGCAGTTTCACCTCAGAGAGCCCCCATATTGTTAAACCAACGCGCGGAGCACACTTGACTTCCCCTTCAGATTATAATTGGTTGTTGCCAAAAATATTGCAAATTAAACTGTACTATAATGCAAAGCAGTCTCAATTTAAATAATGGATGTACACCGTTGTATTTAATTCAAAAACAAAAATAGAACACTTCACCTAAAATAGTACAGATGCACAACGGCGCACATGCAGCTTTATTTGTACTGCAACGACGCGTGCGTCTTTACGCGACTCACCGCACACTAGAGATATAAAAACGACGCTCTATTTCTCATTCCTTCCAATTCTCATCAAAGACTGCTGCAGTTGATACCAGACGAAGAAAGGCAAGATCGTTCAAGAATCGTAAGGGATGTTTAAGCTATTTAAACTCGATGTGCACTTTTTATCTGCTATGAGGCTGAATTATACCACGTGTAATGTCTTCTAATTGCTATTTTTTATTTTTTTCCTGCAAGAACAACAAGTGCATCAGAAAACAGTGAGAATGGTTGAAAGATCCAAAGTGTTCTCGAGGGCAAACTGAATTAATTAAAGCACATGCAGTCCTAAATCAGCCAGAATCCTGTGTGAACCTTGGGTATCGCTTGATTATTGAACTGTTGGATGTTTAATATTCCTTCTTCTTACCATGAGAGAAAGAAAAAAAGCTAGGTTTTTGACTTTTGAGATCGAAACGCGATTAGTCGTTTTCGCTTATAATCTGTGTTTGACTTCCCAAACGTAGTTAAAATCAACTAGTGTTTGCTATTTGTTTTCATGCAGATCGTTGTTTTTGTTGTTGCACTTGCATTGAATGCCTCATATTTACCGCAATGCAAAAAAAATAGCTCAAACGATACTTTTGGAATGAAGACAAGGTAATTGGTGAAATAAACAGGTGTATTGTTTCCATGTATGTTTTTATTAATAATTCATATAGAAAAAAAGAACTCACAGTCAGATATACGTAGGATATTTTTGGATTATTGTACCCGGCGTCCTTCGAACTTTGAATTTATAAGTAAATTTGAGAACGTTTTGCTATTTTTGCAAGAAAATAATTCGGAAATCGTTGACCACTCTGAGTCTGTGACATTGGTTTTTGTACAGTGGATTTTCCTTTACAATGCCACCGCGGCTTTCATAATCAGGCTTTTGTAATCAGTCCTTCTTCGTCGGCCATGTTTTCAATTTCAATTTTCCATCTAGCAAATGAGCTCGTATATTATATACACGGAGTAGCATTGCAACCACGTAATGTTAGTTCGCCATTCCAAATGACGCAGTCCATCCTGAGGCCAGCCGCGTAACTTTAGATTGCCAATCCGAATGATGCAGTCCAGCCTGAGTCCATCCGTGTAATGTTGGTTTGCCATTCCGAATGAAGCAGTCTAGACTAAGTCCAGCCGCGTAATGTTAGTTCGCTATACTGAATGACGCAATCCAAGCTGAGTCCAGCCGCGCGTATTGTTAGATCTCCATACTGAATG